GTAACTTAAGGCAACTTACTTACCTATACCTCTATTCTAATAATCTTAGTGGACAAATCCCACCATCACTTGCAAACCTCACCCAACTTACAGAGCTTCACCTTTCAAATAATCAGTTTTCTGGTCCCATTCCAGCTTCCATAGGTAACTTAAGGCAACTTACTATCTTAACCCTCTATTCTAACAATCTTAGAGGACAAATCCCACCATCACTTGCAAACCTCACACAACTTCGCTTTCTCCTCCTTTATTATAACTTACTTAATGGCACGTTGCCACCTTGGATTTTCTCCCTACCTTTCTTAGAGCAGTTGGATCTCAATCATAACCAATTCCAAGGTCAAATAAATCAATTCCAGCAAAAATCACTCATATATCTAGATTTGTCAAACAATAAACTACAGGGCTCAATTCCTAAGTCAATTGCTAATTTAGTAAATCTTAGTTATCTCGATTTATCATCAAATCACTTTAGTGATTTAGTAGAGCTTGACATGTTCTCAGTGCTGCAAAATTTGGAAGCCATCTTTCTTTCAGGCATTAATCTGTCCTTGAGAATGAACATCGATGCCAACTTCACATTACCCAAACTAACTGATGTTTCCTTTTCTTCTTGTAACTTGAGTGAATTCCCCAATTTCATAAGACATTCAAATGGTCTACGAAGCCTAGTGCTATCCAAAAATAGCATTCATGGAAATATTCCCAAATGGATATGTGAAAAGGATGATCTCCAAATTCTTGACCTTTCTCATAACAATTTAACCGGGAAGATTTCAAATTGTCTTCCTAAGTCTCTCTTAGTGTTGAATTTGCAAGCCAATTACTTTGATGGAAATGTACCATTTGGGTTTCCAGAGGGCTGTGGATTACGAAATCTCAACTTACATGGAAATCAAATGGATGGCTTATTACCAAGGTCTTTGTTGAATTGTAGCATGTTAGAGGTTCTAGATGTTGGCAACAACAGCATAGAGGATACATTTCCTCATTGGTTGGAATCTCTACCAAACCTTCAAGTGCTTGTCTTAAGGTCCAACAAGTTCCACGGTTTTCTGCGGAGCACCAAAGAAAGTTCATCTTTTCCCAAGTTACGAGTTCTGGACCTCTCCAGCAATGATTTTCTTGGTCCTTTGCCTCTTCGGTACATGGAAAATTTTAAAGCGATGATGGACTCCCATGGAGAGGATGGTTCCCCTGACTACATGAAGGCGTCAACAAGAGTCAATTCTTATCAATATTCACTGGTTGTGACATGGAAGGGATTCGACTATGAGTTGCAGGGAATCTTGACCATATTCAGTAGTATTCATCTCTCAAATAACAAGTTTGAGGGAGAAATTCCAGATTTTATTGGAAAGCTTAGTTCTCTCAAAGGGCTTAATCTTTCTCATAACAACTTTACTGGTCATATCCCACCCTCACTAGGGAATTTGACGAATTTGGAATGGTTGGATATCTCTTCCAACGAGCTAGCGGGGAAAATTCCAGATGAATTGGTATCTTTGACACAACTTTCTGTATTGAATCTTTCAAATAATCATCTCGTCGGACGCATACCACAAGGCAATCAGTTCAACACCTTTGGAAATGGTTCTTATGAAGGAAACATTGGACTGTGTGGAATCCCATTGTCAAAATCTTGTGATGGAAGTGGGACACCACCGAGCTTCTTCCAAAAAAAAGATGAGTTGTGGAGATTTGGCTGGAGAGTTGTGGTGTTAGGCTATGGATGTGGAGTTGTTTTTGGACTGCTAATGGGATATCTTGTCTTCCGAACAGGAAAACCAAAATGGTTTGTGTCTTTGTTTGATGGCCGACCAAGTCAAAGTGGAAGGAAGATGAGGAAAGCCAGAAGACTTGTTCAAAGAAGAAGCTAGTTGCAGAGTTGATGTTTTAGAGCTTCTGATTTAATGTTTCCTGAATAATTGCTTTTTGGGTTTGAAGTTCCTGTTATGGATGGCATTGGCTTGTCTAAAATTGTCAGCCTACTATTGTCTTTATTATGCTTTGTAATTTTTTCTTTCTTTATTGTAAAATATATTTGAAGTTTCAAGCTGTTAATCTTTCGTTATTAATGTACTTCCTTAAATCGGTTGGTATCAAACTGGAAGCGAAGGTGTGTCAAGTTTCATTCTTTACAGTTTTTGTTCTTGAGATTCCCATTAGCAGAGTCATAAAAATTCTTGCTTTACATTTTTGCGCTGAAGGGGAAGTTTGAATTTTGAGATGGGATTTTGATGGAATCATTTCATGATCGTGGAATCTGGATTTTGGGATGGCTATCGTTGTAGGGATATAACTGTAATTGTAAAATTGGGAAGGGTGAGTCCTGTGATTTCGGCTTCAGTCCCTCTCTCCCACTGGCTTTCTGCAACATCTTCCTTTGGCTAAATTTCACCCCTTTAGGGTTTCTCTTCTATTATGAATACTAAGTCCTCGGTTCCATCTGCAGCAAATCCATCACCAAGCATGCACAGTTCCAACAGGAACAAGGTGGAATAGGATTTGAATCTTTTTTTTTTTTTTTTTTGAAATTTTTAACATTTTCCTTCATCTATAACTATTGTGGGGTTGTCAATCGACCCTCCTTCATTTCCGTCCAAGTGTTCCTCTTTCGTGCAACACAATCGAAATTTGAAATGCTCAATAAAATTATCATCCAAAAGTAATCACTTCCCATGTCGTGTAGTCTCCAGCTGTTTCAATCCGTCCATTTTGGTGGAATTTACAGTTCATTT